GGGGTCCACACCTGAGCCTCCTGGGTGGGGTGGGCAGTGCAGGGAGAGCTCATGGGGTCCACACCTGAGCCTCCTGGGTGGGGTGGGCAGTGCAGAGAGAGCTCATGGGGTCCACACCTGAGCCTCCTGGGTGGAGTTGGTGGCCCCCCATCACACAATGAATACCTCAGGGTAGCTGAGGGACACCTGGCCAAAGAGGCGGGCTGTCCATCAGCTGGTTGTGCACACACTGGGGGCCAAGAGGTGCCAGGCCCAGTGTGTGCAGTGAGAGGAGGAAGTGGTCAGCCAGGGGAAAATCATGAGAATGGCCCCCTGTGCTCAGCAACATGCAGTGATGGAGGCCAGATTGGGTCAATCTGTGGCAGGGCAGGAATAAGGGAAGATAGGGCTTGAGAAGTGACAGGAGGGACTTCCTGGCAGATGGCAGACTGAACACGCCCACCCCACTCCATTGGAGCTTCTGGACCAGACGTGTAGATGGCACAACCCAGAGTCTGCTACATCCCCTACTGACCCCAGGGCTGGCCAGGTGCTCTAGAGAGATGCCCTCTGCCTACCCAGAACAGCTGGACACTGCACTCTGGTGCAGACACCACCTGAGACACTGCCTTTTCCAGAAGATCTCCCCTCCCCACTTCCCAAAGTAAGCCAAGAAACAAACTGAATGGGAGCTGCAACAAGGAGCCAACAGCACCCTCAGTAGGGAAGACCAGTGCAGACTGTCTACAGGAAGGCCCAGGGTGGCCCCGAGAGCCTCACAATCACAATGAGTCATGGGCACAACACACTGATCATCCCATAACCAGAAAAAAGTCTCCACCACTGATGGTATCAGCAGAAGAGTCCAACAGAGCCAGACAGTCACGATCACTTAGGGGAACTGCAGAACAATATAAAACAGGTAGAATAAAAGGACAGTTGATGAATGGCTGTTAGAAACAAATTTGGAAAGGAAAAAACTACTAAATAACAAAAGCTATCAGTGGACCAAAGAGCTGAGTACTCATAGCGGCTAGAAGGAGCTGGGCGTGGCTAGGAGAAGTGTGGCTAGAGAGCGCTGGTGAGCAAAAAGATGGAGCTGAGACCCGGAATGCAGCACAGACACAGCAGAGGGGACCCCTGAAAAAGATGTGGAAGACAAAATGGGAAATTCCAGGATTTTAAAAAATTGTGAGTCTAAAGGAGATGGTAGACAAGATGAAGAAGAGTTATGATTTTTAGTGAAAAAAATGCAGTGCAGAGAACTGGTTAGCATAAAAAGGTGTCTGCAGAAGCAGCACAGATGTCCCAAAGAGAACAAACTAGGGCAGTGTTGTTGCACAGCATGTGGAACTGAGCGCAGAGCACACAGAGACCTTCAGGGCCCAGGGGAGGGGACATGTTGCCCACAGAGGTGCCGCTACTCAGTGCAGAACTGCTCGGCAGCAGCCTGGCAGTCAGAAGGTGGCTGGATTAGATTTCCTGAACATTGAAGGCAACTGTCAACCCAGAGCTGTGCCCAGCATGGCGAAGACTACAAGTGCTTCTTCCCAGGAGAACCCCACTGAGGGAGTTCTCAATGTGCTTCAGGACAGAGCAAAACTACCCCAGAAGGATGGCCTGGGACTCTTAAGTCAGCAAAATCATAACTTCCCCGAGGATGCCAGGCAAGCGCGCTACCGCTTGAGCCACATCCCCAGCCCTCTTTTTCACTTTTGAACATGGAAATTTGGGTATACATTTTTACACTTTTTAATACATGCATTTAAAGGTATAAATGTTTGAATGGTTTGCATCTTTCCCTAGGAAATGCAAAAGAGAAAGAGAATGGTGAAAGAATGACAGGCCCCGAAATGCAGTCCTCGCACTAGCAAGAAGGGCAGGCTGGAGAGGCTGCCAAGGGCACCCAAGGGAAGGCTGAGGCCCTGGTCAGGTGCACCCACTGAGATATTCTCACGACAATCAGTGGTTGTGATACAAAAATCGAGTAAAATCCCCTACTCTTATATTTCAATTAAAAGCTCATAATTGTTTTTTTGATCTTCTTAATATTTACTCTTTAGTTGTAACTAGACACAATATCTTTATTTTACTTATTTTTATGTGGTGCTGAGGATCAGACCCAGGCCCTCGCACGTGCCAGGTGAGCGCTCTACCTCTGAGCGAGCCACAGCCGCAGCTCCGAGAAACACTTGTTTGGAGCACATTTTCTCCACTGTTGTCGGAGGAGGTTCAGCTTGAGGACACTGGAGAAAGCGGGCACTTCACAGCCAGGCTGTCAGCAGGAGAACTAAGGACGCGGGATTGGGGAGCCGCCACTGTCCAAAGGAGAGTGACGTGGCCACCAAGAACAATGATGAAGGGACAGTGGTACAGGAGGGTCACTAAGGGTGTCAGAAGTTCTTTCATAAGAAACAACTACCAGAAATCTTGTGCCAAAGAATTCAGCATGCTCATCTGCACCCAAGGCTCCCAGGAGGGTGCCACAGCCTCCAGGTGCAGAGCCCAACCTTGGGGCCATCTCTCCAGAGCTGCCTGAGCCCAGAGGGACTCCACCCCAGCAGGCACCAGCAGTCCCACTGCTCACACGGACACCAGAGACATCTGGGGAGCTCTGCAGCCCTCACAGGCCCTGAGCCCAGGGTGGAGACCTACAGGGTGACACCTACTGCACTGCCCACAGAGAGCCCGACCTACACAGTGCCTCCCCAGCAGGTTCCTGCCGTGGAGCCCCCTTGAGGCACTGCGATCAGCAGGCCCCTAGCTGGCCTGCCCAGTCCTGCCCAATCATGAGATCTTTTCCACTCTCTCACACCCTGGGAAATACATGAGCTGCCCACCTTCCGTGGCTCAGCCTGCAGAGACCCCCAAGAAGCAGCCAGTGTCCCCGCCCTCCCTCCCACTTCCCTGGAAGTGGTCAGCAGCCCTGCCCAGCAGCTCTCAGTCCTGAGAAGCAGCCAGGAGGCCCCACCCATTCTCCTGCGGCCCCCAGAAGCATGAAAACCAAGGTAACCAGACAACTGCAAAGGAAAACAACTCTCTAGCGAGAGACCCCAAAGAAAAGAAAATCAACAAATTATCTGAAAAGTAATAAAAAATAATGATTCAGACTAGGTGTGGTGGCCTTAACTAGGTGTGGTGGTCTAAACAACTAGGTGTGGTGGCCCAATACACCGGTAGTCCCAGCTGCCCTGGAGGATGAGGCAGGATTGCTTGAGCCCAGGACTTTGAAGTTAGTCTGGCAACCAAGAAAGACCCCATTTTAAAAAGAAGAAGAAGGAGGAGGAGGAGGAGGAAAATTCTAAGGAAACTTAATGAGATGTAAGAGGTTATACACAGATAATTTAACAAAATTAAGAAGATAATTTACAATATAAATGAGAAATTTAGCAAAGAGAGATCATAAGAAAGAACTACCAGAAATCTTGTGATGAAGAATTCAGTAATTAAAAATCTAAAAAAATATAGTGAAGAATCTCACAGCAAAATTTATCATAAAGAAGAAAAAATGCCTGAGTAAGGGGCTGGGCTGTGGCTCAGTGGTAGAGCACTCACCTCCACGTACGAGACCCTGGGTTCGATCCTCAGCACCACATAAAAATGAATAAGTGAAATAAAGATGATATTATGTCCCACTATGACTAAAAAATAAATATTTTTTAAAAGTTTGCAGGACATAAAACCAATATACAAAACCACTAACTTTTTAATATACCAATAATTAATTTGTTAGGAGATCAAGAAAACAATCCCGGGCCGGGGATGTGGCTCAGTGGTAGAGCGCTCACCTACTATGCGTGAAGCACTGGGTTCGATTCTCAGCACCATATAAAAATAAAATAAAGATATTGTGTCCACCTAAAACTAAAAAAGAAATATTATAAAAAAAAGAAAACAATCCCATTCATTCAAGTTGTTTCACCATGCTCAGTGACCCAGGCACTCAGGGCTACTCCAGCCTGAGTTCACGCATTTTCCACTTGTTTCAAGAGTGTTTGCAGTTGCTTATTGAAGCATTCTTACATAGTGCATGTACACACTAAAAAGTAGCATGTGTAAAAGCTAGTGGCACCCACTCAGGTCTGTGGCCACGTCACTGCCCTGTGCCAGTGCCACAACCCAGTTTCTGGATGCAGCTGTGGAGTTGTCTCATTCATGCAGGAAGTTGCACTGGGGGAGTGAGGCAGCGGTCGCAGGCCCTCTCTGCTCTTGTGGGACTGGAAGCCAGTGGTGCGCAGTCTTCAGCTCTGCCTGGCATCATCAGGGAGGTGGTGAAGGGTGGCTGGTGGCTTTTCAAGGGCTGGTGGAGCTGCAGCTGGACGTTCCCAGAGCAAGGCAGTTTTACAGGCCTGTTCTTGCAGATTTCTGAGAGTCTACAGGTATTTCAAATGAGAAGAGGAGACACTAGGTGCAAAAACCAAGAGGACCTAGTTGACTGCTGAGTGATTTCACTCCTCTGCCTGTGTTTTTGTTGTTTGTTGTAGAACCCTGGGCTTCACCCTTGCCAGGAGCACTCTACCCCTGAGCCCAGCCCCATCCCAGATGATGTCTCTCCCTTCCTTACAGGAAGCAGACAGTCTCCTCAGCGTGAGGCCTCAGTGAGGTCTGGCCTCCTCTCTAGTATTCAGAACACTTTCATTGCAGAAGCCTGCTCCTCCTGCTGCCACAGGCTCCTCCCTGCCTCCTCCCTCCTCTCAACTCCAGCCGCCCCTTCACTCCCCCTCCCGCCTCCGCCAGGCAATGGAAACACCAGAAAATGACTATTTCAGGTGGTTGCCAAGGCCTGCTCCTGGCTCTCTGCCACAGGGTGCCGGGCGCCCAGACTCGCCTTCTCCTAGCGCTTCTCCCTGGCCCTGGCACTGCCTCTCAGCCCAAAGAACACTTCCCAACCTTTGAAGAGCAGGGGACTGAAGCTGATGGCACAGAGCTTGGAGAGGCCTGAAGTCCCAGGTGCCGTTTTATCTTGTCCCTGGGACTTGCTGGAGTCACAGACACATGTGTCCCTTCTCACAGCAGTCAATCTTACTTACAAGGTCACCCAAGGAAATGCACACTTGCAAGAAGCAGTCAGGTGCCTCTGATCCAGGCACAGAACGCTCTGCTACAGAGGGCCATGCAGGTGCTGGCGGTTCTGCTGTGTCTCAGTTTCCCACCCTCGGCTGCTTTCTATCTCCACGCAGGGGAACGAGAGCAGAAATGCCTCATAGAAGATGTTCCAGGAGACACGTGGGTATCAGGTAGGTGGCTGACTCCTGGGCAGTGTGTGTCATGTTGAATGGCTCCCTCCTCACCGTCTGCCAAGTGAGGCAAAGCTGATGTGGATAGACGAAGGAGGGAACTGTATGATTTTTAAAGCAGGAGACTGGACCTGACATCAAGCTTAATTTGCTCTTCTGGTGGTCAGGTTTACCTGAGCCAAGAAAATCTGCTGCCGTTTAACATGCTAATTGTGGCTGAGCAGTCCAAACATAGGAGAGGTCTTTAGACTGGTCCAATAAAGCAGGACACACACCAGGAGTCCATGTGCCTTCTGGAGACCATGGGCAGGAGCATCCCGTGCAGACCCAGGACTGCCTGCCAGGCAGACTGTCCTTAGATTCTGTCACCACAGTGAGTCTGCACATTTCCTGTGCTGCAAGCACATCCTCACCCAGGTGAGCTTGGCCCACCTTCTGAGAAAGAAAGAAGTGCTGACTAGTCTCAGAATTGTATGGGAAACTCCAGCATGCTAGCTAACATTCAAGTCAGAATCAATCTCCAACTCTGATTTCAATGCAAAAGGTGGGGGGGGGGAGGTGAAATCTAAATCTAGAGGCATCCAAGTCGTGTTTTGTATGTCATGATTTTGTGCCCCCTCACCCCCACCGGGGGAGCTGAGCTCTGCCTTCAGCCTGTCTCCACCGCTGGGCCTCAGGGTTCCTTCCCCAGAGCGGCCCAGCCTGCAAACATCCAACACAGCAAGCCAGGACGCGGGCAGCGCCTGGGACCACAGGCGGCCAGCAGACAGGCCAGGCACCAGCAGTGCTGGGGTCTTCCTGTTGTCAGGGTCGGCACCGGTAGCAGCACTGTTTCCTGCCACGGGCCACGGCCAGCATGCTCCTCAGCCTCTCTGTGATGGCAGGTGATGGCGGCGCCTGCTCCTTCCAGCTGTGGGGATGTGTGAGATCTGCAGGCCTTTCTAGCCCACCCACACACAGAGGGCGCCAGGCTCTGCCCGGTGTGTGCCCAGAGGAAGCACTGCCCTGGGGAGTCCTGGGCCCTTGGTCTCCTTCGGGGTAGCTCATGGATTTTCTGCCTTCCTTTCAAGGGGCCAAGAAGGAATAAGAGGGACAGAGTAGCTCCTGCCCACCTGCTGCCCTACAGACACTGGCTGGACAGACCTGGCCAGCAGCATTTCGTGGCAGTGGGCTGAAGTCACAGAACCTGGAGGTGCCTGATGTGGGCTCCAGCAGCTGTGTGAGCAGGGGCGTCTGTGTGGCCTGACATGCAACCTGGCCGCAGCCTCAGCCCTCAACTGCAGTGAGAGCCTCAGGCCCTGCCCACCCCCACTGCTGTCAACCCCTCCCCCTTGCCACTTGCCCTGGCTCCTCCCCAAATCCAGCGGCCCTCTCCTCCCTGCCTCTGCACCTCTGTCACCTTACCTGTCACCTCTACATAGCTTTGCAGATTCAGGGCTCAGGGAGCAGGAGCACCAGGGCAGCTCTGGGCCCACGCCGAAAGTAGCCACTCAGAGGCCAGGAACAGAGCAGAGGACTCACCCCTCGCATGGACCTAGAGCAAAGGTCCAGCCCCAGCAGGGTTGGGGGAACTGTGGTGGACACTGCAGGGGGCCACCACCTGGGAGCAAGATCAGGCCCAGGGTCAGGATGGAGCTGATGGCTGGGGAAGTGGCTGCCTGGAGGAGGTGACTCCACGCAAAGCTCCCTGGTGTTCAGCATGCAGTCAGCAGCTGTGAGGCCTCCAAGGACAGGAGGGCTGAGAGCAGGAGACAGCCCGGCAGGAGAAGCAGGGACATCAGACGCCAGCATGCTGAAGCCAAGGAGCGACGGGCGGCGGTGGTGGCGTGGAGGACTCTACAGGAGGAGGCTGGACACCAGTGGATGCACTCCCACTGCAGGGCACTGGGAGGCCTGTGGCTCGCACCCCGCACACCCGGCCCTCACCTGCTCCCTTCAGCACCCCTGCAGCCAAGACTCAGTGTCTACTTGCTCACGAATGCAGTGCCAAGTGCCACCAGGTGAGAGGTACCGAGACTGCATCTTTATCCACTCACGAGATCACTGTTAAAAACAAACCTAAAATCTTCATGGAGTCTAGGCCAGGAAGCCCCATGCCCACTGTCCTGACCTCCTTCCAGCTCAGTGCCATCTGGAAGTCCAAAAGGGGCGACTTTTGAACACTTTCAGGCCAAGATCTGCCTGAAGGTGCTTCTCATTAGGACTGACCATAGGCGGCGAGGAAGTGTCCACCTTCCCTGATGGAGGTGACTCAGTGCCACAGAGGAATAAAGAACAGCTGGAGAGAGAGCTCTGGCACCCACTGGCACCACCGGCACTGCCCCATGCTGGTGACTGTGGGTGTCCCACCTGAGCTGGAGGCGGCTAAGTCTGGCCTCCAGTGCCAAGGTGCTCCGTAAAGGGAGTCCCCCACCCACACTGCCTCCAACCTCTCTGGCTTGGCCTCCAATTATTCGCCCCGCACCTCTGGAGAAGCGGGGTGGCATCTCTGAGTGGGAGGTGAGGAGGGGCTCGGGTGCCTGGGAGCTGCCAATCACGGCACTGCCACCAACACCAGGGCGAACCCCAGCACCGTGAACCTGCAGGAAGCCCCAAGCAGGTGTTTTGTGTCTGTGACCTCACTTCCCTCAGTCCCGCATGACCGTCCCTCAACAGTGAGTTCCGGGCCATCTGGAGTGGGGAGGGCAGAGCACCTTCCATGTGAGTCTGAGGCGCGGGCCAGGCAGGCTCTGCTGCTGAGGGGAGAGCCTCATGGTCCACCCAGGTGGCTCCTGGCTGCACCTTCTGGAAGGGCCCTACGTGGCGAGCCCTTCAAGTACAGTTCCCCGAGACCAGGGACAGCAGGAGAGGGCTCTGCTCAGACGAGTTCCGCCTTCAAACTCCCACAGGGAAACAGGCCCTCCTGGAGGCCACACAGCCAAGGGTTCAAGGGTCAGGCGTCCACCACAGAAACGCTCCAGACAAAGGGAGAAGTCCAGAGGTGCTTTCAGCTGCAAGCTCATCCTGGGCCCCAGAGCTCGGGAGCACAGGACAGTCACAGATTGGAAGTCCCACTCCTGGGTCCACACCCTGGAGAACGGAACCAGGCCTCCCTCCCACACCCCACGGCGTTTATGGCGGCACTTGTCATTCACAACAGCCAGGTCTACCCACAGACCCTGATGGACAGCTCAGCGGCTCCCTGGGGGATGAGAAGTCCACGACTTTCTAGGAATGGATGGCACATGGAGGCTGTCCCGCCTTCCTGGGTGGAGAAAACAGGCCAACGGTGAACAGACCCATTGCCCAGAGGATCTGCAAGACAGGGAGCCAGTCAGGCGACAATGACCTGGGCAGCCACCAGGCGAGTGCAAAGTGGGCCCGTGGGCATGCTGCTGAACTCCACCAGGTGCCCAGACCCCCGCCTGCCACGCAGCACACGAAACGCACACGCCTGGTGCCCAGAGACACACATTCCTGGAGCAGCCCTGCTCGGGGGCCAGCGGACAGCCCCGGCCTGGCAGACGCCCCTCCCGGTCCCCACAGGAGCCCAACAGTGGCACGGGCATGCAGCACAGGGCAGGACCACAACTGTCTTGGACATCAGTCCTGCTGGCCTCTGGGGCCCTCTGGGCTGTTGCTGGTGTTCTGACAGCAGCCGTCAGTCGGCACTAGTGTGAGCTTCCCAGGGAGGGCCTGTGCACAGCACCCTGCTGATGTAGTCCCACCAGGCCCTCCAGGACCCTGGAGTGTTCCAGAGACCAGTGTGTTCACAACACTCTTGACACGACTGCTGTCCACGCCCAGGTGCCCGCCATCGGCAGAGCCAGGTGCTCCCAGGGCTGAGGGCCCCAGGCACTACAGTGTGCAGCACCCAGAGCCTTTGGAAAGGACTGTGGGTGAGCTTGGGCCTCCTCCCGGCTTGTGGGCCTCCTCCCAGCGGCCTCCTCCCGGCAGCCTCCTCCTGGCTTGGAATCTCACTCTACATGCCCCTTGCCCTCCTCACAGGCCCTGGTACTTCCAAGATAGGAGCAGGCAGTGTGGTCAGTGAGGAGAAGGGCCAGGTCTTGGGGGATGTGGCACGTGGCCTGTGTGGGCTTCCTCCTAAGAGCAGGGTCGTCAGTGCATGTGGAGCCTCCTCTGTCCCTCGCACTGTCCACTGTTGTGGCTGCAGGTCTGGATGACCGCGAGGGCCAGCTGTGCTCTCAGCTCTGCTGGCTCCTCTCCTCTGAGACCACCCCAGGAGCCTCCATGCCTGGCTCCCTTCGGAGGGGCAGATGGCTTGTGAGTGGGGGTCCAGGTCGGCCAGACCATGTGGCCTCCAGCCACACACCTCGGGGCTCCTGTTCCATGGTTCCCCCACCTGTCCTCAGAAGGCCACCTGCTCTCTGCCATGCTCTGCGCTCGGCGCTGGGTCGTGTTCTCTGAATAGACCTCAATTTAAGGTTACAGAAGAAAATTTAAGACATGGTAAACTGATCTGAAAAAACTAGGTTGGAAAATCAAGGCACAGATAGCGTACATGTTCCAATCTCTCTCTCTTCTCCTCCTTTTCTTTTCTTTTTTTTTTTTTTTTTCCTGGGGATTGAACCCAGGGGCACTCAACCACTGAGCCACATCCCCAATCTTTTAAAAAATACTTACAGACAGGGTCTTGCTAAGTTGCTTAGGGCCTTTCTACAATGAGGAGGCTGGCTTTGGACTGGCGATCCTCCTGCCTCAGCCTCCCCAGCTGTGCTGGGCCCCAAACTAATTTTGATAACGCATACCAGGTACTTACAGGAAAAAGGCTAGACGGCTGACACCAATACTAGGAACTCCTGGAGGGACTTGCACTTTCCGAAATTCCTACGATGAGTGTGTTGTCCCTATAATACACTCTAATGACCCACAGTTTCGGTCTCAAGGACGCAGTCTGGAGGAACGGGATGACCATCGGTGACCTCAGGCACCAGGAGAGGGCGTGAGGCCCTCACCCCACAGTGCTGGCCTTCACCGGGAGCCAGGAGGGAGGCTCTGGCAGTGAGTGCCGCAGAGGCCCTGTGACCGGCCCAAGTGTGACTCTGGCTTGGTGGCACGTGGGGTGGCTGTGGGCAGTCCTCTTGCTCCTCACCTGCCGTGGTCAGCTGATAGAGAGGTGCTCTGCTCAGGCCCATGGTAGCTCAGGGAGCTGCCAATCAAGGCCTGACTGAGAGCTTTTGGTGTGCTCAGGTCCACACTAGGGAGAACACAACCCTGACTTGCTGCTCTCACACCCAGAGGGAGGTGTACCCTGATGTTACCACTGTTGGTGTTGGCTTGGGGTCCTGGGGACTGCACCCAGGGCCGCTCCACCACTGAGTGCACCCCAGCCCTTTCTAGTTTTAATTTTGAGACAGTCTCCCTAAGTTTCTGAGGCTGGCCTCAGTTTGTGGTCTTCCTGCCTCAGCCTCTGGAGTAGCTAGGATTATAGGTCGTGTACCACTGTGGCCTGGCTGGTATAACGTATCATCCTTGCTCTATCAGTGGGAAAACGGAGGCACCCGCAGCCCAGTGCAGTGCCCAAGATGGCCCACCGAAAGTTGTATCCCTGTTCCTAGCCAGTGAGCCCTCCCGCTCTGTGGCCACTGGTGAGAAGCTCCCCGGGGCTCTGTGCTGGGCTGGCGGCTGTTCCTCTAGGACTGCTTCACCCACAGGGAGTGACCCTCTCCAACTGACTGGCCCAGGAGCAGTGCTTCTCTCCCGCCACCTGCTGGCCTCCCTGGCCATGACACCTACCTCTAAGCCGCCCTCCTGCCTGAAGGGCACCTTGGGGAGGCCGTTGCCTGAGGCTGGAGGATCCCACAGAAGCAGGCGGGGTCACCCTGGCCTGTTCTGGGAACTCAGGCAGCATGCCAGGAACGCTGTGTTGCAGTGGCGTAGGGATGAGTGGTACCCATTCATTCAAGTCCCTTGTTGAACCTGAATTGTGGGACCCTTTCACTTATTCCACAAACATTTATTGAGCCCCCACCATGAAGCCAAACACTTCCCTAGGCTTACTGCCAGACCCCAGAGGGCCCCAGGGAAGAATGGAATGTCTGAGGCTCTCTAGCCCCTCGCCGTGCAGACGAGGGGCACCGGAGCATGCATGCTCAAAGAACAGATCTGCAGGGCCCGTGAGGGGACCCCGGGACTCGTGTGTGCTTGGGCAGGAGTCCTGGGGACAGGCCTGGGGCAGAGCTGTGGGGGAGCACAAAGGCGGGAGGGCCACCGGGGATGCAGAACAGCAAGGCTCACCGGCAGGTGGGACCCTTCCCAGGCTTTCGGCTGGCAGCCTCAGCACCCTGGGGTTTGAGCAGGGCACAGCCTGCCCACCCTCCAGTGTGGGAGACAAGGCTGGGTGGTGCAGCAGCTCAGCAGGCACCCAGTCAGCACAGCTGGACCAGCACCCCAGCCCTGCTGCCTGCCCAGAGTTGTCCTGCGGGTCGCACAGGCCCCCAGGGCGGAGGCTGCCCCAGGCAAGGGTCCTCATGACACAAACAGAGAAAGACGATTGGCCTAACTTAGAGGTCATCACCTATTGATGCTTTCCGCACACACAGTCACTGCCTCCTGCTTATGACACAGGGACTTTCAAGATCCAGCAGTGGGACACAGGCAAACTTGACTTCCGAGAACCAGGCCCTGGTCTGGGGATGTTCGTGACTGTCACAACATACAATGATGAGGTGAGCATGCATCTGTGCTGAGATACTAACTGCTTGTGCAGGAACCACCTGCCCCTCGTGTCCATAGTGTTACAACTTCTGCTTATGTATAACTGAGCACCTGAGCACCATCAGCCAGAGTTTACAACTTTTTTTGTTTTTGCACCAGGGTTTGAACTCAGAGGTGCTTTACCACTGAGCCATGTCCCCAGCCCCACCTTTTTTTCTTCTGAGACAGGGTCTTGCTAAGTTGCTTAGGGCCTTACTAAATTGCAGTCCTCCTGCTTCAGCCTCCTGAGTTGCTGGGGTTACAGGTATGCACTACCACACTCACCTGCAGCTTTTTATTTAGGACAGTACCTCACCCTCAAAGACCCGTGGTCTAGATGAGGAACAGAAACACTCTTCCCATAGAAAGTTTCAAGAGAAGTCACGTGGGGGCTTCTGTGGACACAGGGGCTTGCAGATTTTGCCTGGGTTGGGCCTCATCTTTGGCAGAGCCATGGCTTCCCCAAAAACCAAAGATCAGAAAAACCACTGCCTATCTCCTTCCTCAGATTCTGGAAGAGGCTTTCTCAAGTAATTCAGAAGCCCCAGGTCATACAGAACCTTGTCGCCATGGGGCACCAGTGAAGGAGCAGAAAACTCAGCATGGTCAAAGGGACAGAGCACAGATCCAGGAGAGCAGACAGTTTCCAGCACACACTGTCATCTCTGAGGGCAAACTGGTCAGGTTATTTGACTGGTTCATCCTCAGTTTCCTCATTTATACAATGGGTTTAACAGTGACATCCAGATTCCACTGTACCACAGGTGCTCTGGCATCCTGAGCCCAGGGCCACAAAAACGGAGGTCCTAGAAATCAGCTCATGGGCAGCAGGTGCTGGTAGGTAATCCCTGGAGAGTGGCACGGGCCTCTCAGTGACAAGGACAGGGTTCTATGTAGGCAGGAGAAATTAAAATCTGTCTGTTGTCTTCAGAAGACACTTAAGTCCTTAGAACACACACTCACCCACTGGGTCAGTTACACACTGCATGGCCAGCCCCATGAGAGGCAGAGGCAGGAGTGTCACCTGAGTCCCCGGGTCAAGGCCACCTAGAAAAGGCAGCGTCTATTGTCTCTTAAGAAAACATAAATACACCATTGCCTGAGAACGTTCCCTTTTAGAAGTGAGACATGTTTTCATCCATTCTGTGGACATCCAGCAAACACATGACGTGTGAAGCATGCCCGAGCCTCTCTTGGCCTAGGAGAAGGGCAGAATCCCTCCTACGGGCCTTATTCTCAGGAAGAGCTTCTCCGCATAGAGATGGGGTAACAAGAACCGGCTCTGGTGGTATCAGTTTGGATAGACCACTCCCTGTATACCCTGCTTCTCTTGGTCATTGTTAGAGCTCGGGACTGTCCGCATTGCCAGTCTTGATGAGCTACCCATTCCTGCGCCAGTGAGGGACAACCCGAAGGAACGAAGTGGCTGGTGGAGTGGGCAGAGCAGGTGGTGACCGTGGTGTACCACACAGACCTCTCTACCCCATCCCACTTTCCACTTCCAACATTCTGTTGGGCAGAGGCAACGTGGCTGGAAGGTTCAATGACTTACAGACTGTCATCAAGTTGAAGCACTGAGATTCAAACTCAAGTGTGCATTTCCCCCAGCTCACCATGGGAATAGCATTCAAAGCTGTTTGGTGAATTTCATGTTCAGTGACACAAGACAATGAAGGGTTTGGAATACAAAAGTAAATCTCAGGAATGTGTTAACAAGTAGTGAGTAGTCACTAAACATTTCCTCAGAGAAGAGAAAGGTTTTGCTATTCATACAAAAATAGGAAGTAATAATAAACCTCACCCTTCACCGCAGACTTATTGACAAACTTTCCCTTTCAGTGGTCCTCTTGAAAGAAATCAGGTACGTGACAATGTTCTTCATTTTCTCTAGATCAAAACTGAAAGACATTTACAAAGCATCTTTTAAAAAATATTTAATTTTTAGGTGTAGTTGGATTCAATACTTTTATTTTATTTATTTATTTCTATATGGTGCTGAGGATTGAACCCAGGGCCTCATACGTGCTAGGCGAGTGCTCTACCTCTGAGCTACAACCCCAGCCCTACAAAGCATCTTGACTGCATTTTTTTATTTGTGTAATATGTTTTTAAGACTTTGCAATTGTAGAGCAGTTTTAGGGTTACAGCAAAACTGAGCAGAGCGCAGCGAGTTCCCTGCTCTGACTCAGGCATGACCTCCCCAACTACCAGCAACCTCCTGACCCCTGAGGATTTTTGCCACAACCCGTGCACCCAGGGCCTGAGGTTCACAGCATGCTTCTCTTGGTAATGCACATTTCGCGGGTCTGGACAAACGTGGTGTCGCAGGGCAATTTCTCCACCTCGAACATCCTCTGTGCTCCAGTAGAACCTCCCTTTCATCAGCCCTTGACACCACTGGTCTTCCTGTCCCTGAGTATCATGCCGCGGGAACCACAGCTTTCTTTTCAGCATGCTCCACTTGATAATGTGCCCTTAAGGTTCCTGGCCTGATTGTGCTGGGGAACACTGCATGTCCCTTGCACCAGCTTACACATTCCCCCGTGCAAGGACAGTGTGGTTGCTTCTAAGGTGGGGCAATCATGCCCAGAGCTGCTATGGATACCCACCTGCAAGTCTCTGTGTGGACCGACTTATGTTTCCAGAACACTTGGCAAATGCCAAGGACATTCCTATAGACCACACGTACACTTAGCTCTCCAGGACAATGCCACACTGTCCCTGAAGTCTGTGCGACATTCGGCCCCCCTCCACAGTGAACAGGTGCTCCTGCGGCTCCATACCTTGCCAGCACTCGGTACGGTCAGTGTTTTGGATCTGGGTCATTCTAATAGGTGTGTGGGGACATCTCACTGCAGTGCCCTCCACATGCTTTGAGTCTCATATGCCTATGTGCTACCTGCATTCTTCTTGGCCAGGTGTCTTTTCAGATATTTGCCCAATTAAAAGCTGGGCTGCCTTCCCCTTGTTGACTTTTAAGAGCTCTTTGTGTAGTTTGAGCAGTCATCCCTTGTTAGATCTGTCTTCCAGGGACTCTCTCCAAGTCTGTGGTTCGTCGTCTCATTTTCTTCTTCACAATGTCATTTTCTTTTTCTTTTCTTTCTTTCTTTCTTTTTTTTTTTTTTTTTTTTTTTTTTTGGTACTGGGGATTAAACCCAGGGGTGCTTAACTACTGAGCTATATCCCTAGCCCTTTTAAAAATTTTTTGAGACAGGGACTCACTAAGCTGCTGATGCTGGCCTTGAATTTGCGGTCCTCCTGCCTCAGCCGCCTGAGTTGCTGGGATCACAGGTGTGTGCCACTGCAACTGGCTTGAAATGTCTTTTGCAAGGCATAAACTTTGAGCTTCCCAGGTCCACCTTATCAATGCTCCTTTTCTTGGATCAAGCCTTTGGTGTTCAACTAAACAATCATTACTGGACCCAAGTCATCTATATCTCCTCATCATCTTGGAGGAGCTGTACAGTTCTACACTTTGCCTCCAGGTCTCTGGTCCACATGGAGACGATCCTCACAGAGGTGTAAGGTCCACACCGAGGTCTTTGCACACACATGTCCAGTGGTTCCAGCCCCTCTTTTGTGAGACTGTCTTCTCTCCACTGCATTGGTTTCTTCCCTTGCCTAAGGTCAGGTTACACATCGATGTGGCTGTATGTCTGGACTTGGTTTGGTCCTGGGCCCACCTGTCTGTCCACCTGCCATCATTACCATGCTGCTGTAATGACGGAGTCAGGTAGCGTCAGTCCCAACCTCGTCCTTCTCCCCCTCCCTTTCTTCCTCGGCCTCCTGGAGACTTTTACCTTTGCACGTAAACATGAGAATCAGTTTGTCCAGCCACAACACAACTTACTAGGTTTTATTGGGATTGGGTTGAATCTGTAGATGATATTGGAGAGAACTGACATCTTGACAATACTGAGTCTTCCTACCAGTGAATATGGACTCGTCTCTATTTACTTGGTTCTTAGAATTCACTCATCACAGCTTTGTAGGTTTTCTCACATTCTTCTTGTACACAGTTTGTTAGATTTATAAATATTTCATTTTGGGGAGGGTGCTAATGTAGACAGTATTTTTCACATTAAATTTGCTCATTATTCATATAGAGAAAATTGATTCAGTTTAATATATTAATCTTATATCTGCCAACCTTCCTATAATCCCTTATTCCTTTGTCAATTCTTTTTTTTTTTTTTTTTTGGTACTGGGTATTAAACCCAGGGGTGCTTAGAATATTTTTCTTTCCCCCCGCTTTTTTTTTTTTTTTTGAATTGTGATTGAACCTAGGATGCTCTCCCACTGAGCCATATCTCCAACCCTTTTTGTTTTTATTCTGTTCTGGGGTCTTGTTAAGTTGCTGAGGCTGGCCTTGAACTTGCCATTCTCCTACCTCAGCCCCCCAACTTACTGGGAATCCTTTTGCATTTTGTATGTCATCATATCCTCTGTGAGTCAGAAGTTTTATTTCTTCCTTGCCAGTCTGTTTTCCTATTGTTTTCTTTTCTTGTCACATTAATTAGACCTCCTAGTAGTATGCTAAATAAAATGGTGAGAGATGACATCCTGTCTTCCTCCTGACCTTAGTGGAAAAGCCTCTGGATTCTCACCATTAGGTACACTAGCTGTGGGTTTTCTGTACAATCTTCTTTAAATTGAATCAGTTCCATTCAATTCTTGATTTAATGAGTCTTTATCGTGAATGAGCAGCATCTCTTGTCAAAAGGCTTTTCAGATGGTGCACACATGGTTCTTCTTCAACCTACTGATAGGATGGTTGTAGCACTTGGATGTTCAGCCAGCCTTGCGGGTGTGCAACAAGCCCCACTTGTTCACATGTACTCATTTCGCATGGTGTTAGATCTGCTCTGCTCCTGTGCTGGGAAGGATTTTTGCACGTATGTTCAGGAGAGAGAAGCATCCATAGATTTTTCTTATAATGTTGTCTGGTTTTGTATTAGGTAATGTTACCTTC